CAAACAGATTTCACTCCAAGGACAACGAGTTCACGATTAAACCAAACGATGCCTATTAATTTAGCAGAAACTCGGCTATCTCGTATTAGGAGCCTATCTCATGTTAGGAGACTTTCTTCTATATTACTGCTATACGGATACAAGTTGAACGAAATACAATAGCAATTTTTATACACGTACATTACCAACTTTGGTGACATCATCTCTTAACATTAATATTAAGCCTTGCAGACTCATGGAACTGCGGATTATGTCTTTGTGATCGGACACGTTTTGAAAATAGGTATTGGGCAAATCTTCCTTGTCTGTACGGCACAAATAGTAAACGTAAATAATGAAAGATACATTATATAAATTTACTATCGCTCGCAATGGTAATATAATGATAATGTAACAATCTCTCCAAGAATAAAAAATCTCGCGACAATATAGATGGAAGAAATGTGAGCTCCACTGTATATTTGCAACATTCTCTACTGTAGGTTTTTGTTACCAAGCGGTTTAGCCCGCGTATTTGTAGAATTTCGTTGTCCCCACATAAACACTTTCTTGTGCGTTTCTATAATATTTGTTATAACTTTGCCAAAATGATTTTGCAGCTCTTCTATCGACGGGACAATTACGATATTTGGTATTTGTAATACAAAGTATGTCATCATAATCGGAATTTCTTGTTCTAACGCGACATCTTCAACCAGCACGCTGAAGCAGAATACGTTAATTTATGTATATAAATTTACTTCTTTTCGTCTCGTTTCAATCGTATTGCATGCTTGAAATAAAATAACAAATCAGAAATATAGATAACATGTAATAGATGTGCGATTAAGTACCTCATAATCGTCGCTTTCTTCTTCAATAAGTCTAAAGAATTCTTAGTGCACTTCACTAAAGCCTCAATTAATTTATTATTGTAACACGCAAAGAGTTCTATGCAATCATTGTGCACTTGACTTATCTTAAACTTCTTTGTCTTTTCAACGTGACCAAAGCCTATGTTGAATAATTCATTAATCGACAATTGCAAATAATACAAACTCATAACTGGAAGAATACAATACCTGGCTCGAACCGTCCCTGTAGTAACCTGCTCTCGGATGGGCATTGTCTGTGCATTTTCTCGGGTTCCAGCCAATTGTATTTAACATCTTGCACAGTAGGATCGGTTATAAGATCCATAAATTTATTGATAATCATGATAACGGCCCTCTCTGCCGCCGAAGATTTGATTTCCAAGTCAATCGCTATTTTATCTCTGAAAGCTATGTTGTCGGCTAGAAGCTGTTCCGGACTTTTCGGGTACTCGTCTAGCATCAGTAACATTGTTTCTGCAATAGACTCGAATACTTCGTCCACTCTGGCTTCTTTCATGTCGACCACTTCTTTGATAAATGTCTGCGCCTTGTGGATCTCTTCTTCTATCTTAGCGTGTGCGTTAGAAATCTTTAATGAGGACCACGTAATTACCGACACGCAGGGTTGAAAAGCAATCTCAAGATTGACGAGTGCTATTTTCATTAGATTTAAAAACAAGACTGGGATAGATTGCCTGCACAAATAGAATGAACGTATAAATGTACACACGCAGAAATTTTAATCGATATTTATTGAGTATGCGTACCTAAGGGCGTCGTTTTTCTTAAGCAATTTCTTCACTTTTTCGTAGGATAAAAGTATCTTTTCTTTGCAAAAGATTAACATTTGTATAAAATCCGGCATTTCCAATCCAAACTTAGACATGTGTTCGGATTCTCGTATTACTTCGTAAATGTAAAGATCAAAATTTATACAGAACTTGTTTGTCTTTGGATGACGCACCAGCATAGGCGACGATAATGCCAGACGAACCTAGCGATTGAAAACCACATCTTTTAATCATTTTAGGATAACAATAATGTATGCGCACGAGCAATTTCTGCAAAATTTACTTTTTCTAAAAAATAAAAAACTACAAACCCGAACGTTTAGTTTAGAAAATTTTCCAATTGAATTAAAATTTTATATATTTAAATTAAATTTGGGATATTGCACATTTTAAACCCTACCAAATAAAATTTAATCCGAGAAATGCAGCGTCGAAAAATAGTACGTTGCCTTACAGATATGAAGAGATTCATTTATTTAATTCAAATCTGGAAATACTGATATAACAATTAGTCCTGAAATAGTAGAGTGGAAACTTACGATGCTAGCTGAATCATACCACGCTTTATAGTATATTAACTCGTAATGAATAAACACACTGACGAGCGTATTGTATATCTTAATGCACTTCTGCATGGAATCGTGCGTAATCACTCTGTGGTACGATTTAAACATATTCATAGGAACCTCAATGCGTTTATACAACTGTCGAATCCACAGGATTCTACCGGCAATGGGCGGAATATTTCTCGGTACAGGTGGATCGGATCTGTTTCCATTGTATCTATCACGGGTATCGTCGAGCTCTCGCTCGAACATTGAGATGAGTTCTATACATTTCCTATCGATCCTCAATTGCTTGAGATTCAATTTTTGAAACCTGCAGGCATCATAGTGTAAATCATAATACGCTCCTACGCGATCGATTAATGTGTCGAAATGGCTACCTAGCTATCAAATTTAAACTCTGCGTTATGTTCGGCATGAAAGAGACGCAGTTGTTAAAGAACGTTCTCAGCTCCACGTCGGTTTCCGCCATGGTCCTCTTGTATTCATCGTAATCGACGTCAAAATACGGCTTTCTGTGATCTAGGGGATCGTACTTCTGCGTGGAAATCTTTTTAAAATGATCCGCATACTTTTGCGCGTACGCATTAATGCCTTCTACGGTCGAACTGTGCAGGATGGAGTACATTCGTGCTGACTCGAGGATATCCATGATCTGTTGTAGGTCGCGAATAGTGTGACAGTACAAATCCGCACAGATCTCGTAACTCACCGGTTTGCTTCAGTTATTATTCAATTGTTAATTATTACTTACTTACTTTCATTATTCTTGTCTTGAAAGCGGCGAACTTCCCGAAAACATACATCTCGGACACCTCGAAAGGCTTCTCGTCTGGAGACTCCTCGACCTTCTTACACATAGCGTCGTAACAGTTGTGATACGTCTCACAAAGCTTGATACAGTCCTGCGAAATAATCGCTGACACTATGATTTAGTTCATAAAGCGACGATGCACGCGTACGTGCAAAGAGGAAGCGTCACTTTCGTAACATTTCTGTCTTATATCTTTACCTTTATTTTAGATATCATAGTGCACTTTGATTCGTTCCAAATGCTTAACTTTCCGTCCTCCGTCAGGTACGCTTTACACGCTAATATCATCTGATTTGTTATCTAAATAAACATTATAAATTGATGCAATAGAAACCAAATAGCAGTCGTGTAAGTAGAACATTGTAATTGTACGTTTTGATGTATTACAGGTTTTTCACAGACGATTTTATGAGATTCCAAAATCAGCCGACTATTGATTACAGTATAAACAGTTGAAAACAGTACGTTTTGATCGGTCAATTATTACTTTAGGAAAAAGTACCTTTACGTATACCGCGGTCACCATCTTTCTCGTATTGAAGAATCGCGATGCAGCGTAAATCATTCTTATAGCGTACATGAGCGGCGGTAAGTAATCTCCTATTTTCGTTGGGTCCAATCTGTACAACGGTTGCGTAAATTTTTCCAAGGCGTACAGATACCTGACGTTGTCTTGAGATAAAATATGCACCGTTACAACGTGCTCCTCCAACGTCTTCCATTTCTACACACATGAAATACAGCGATATACGGGTTCGACGCGCGCTACGAGTTCGCGGTTTCGTACCTTCACGAGTTTCGATTTCGCTTCCGTCAGCAATTGTATAAATGCCTGGGCGTAAGATGACTTTATGTGATTCATTATCGATGAAAACTGGCCGAACAATCGCCGCCAATACGCAAGTTCTGCAGTTGGTCCTACAGTTTCGGTTTCCCTGCGCAACTGTTGGCTCTCAACGATAGCCTGCAAAGTCGCCTTATAAAATCGTGAAATTTTGTGAGGGTATATGCATAAGTCATACCCGTTCCATCAATTTCATCCATATTCGGACATCAGCTTCCGCTGCCGCAATGACGTCCGGTTTACGAATACTCTCTCTAATACTTTCAGGTAGCGCCAAAGATTTCTGGTACAAGTCCCAGTTAATTTGAAAGCATATGACGCTTTCCAAATCTATCTTCGTCACTATAGGAAGGAGGAGCGAAGCGTTATCTCTCGTCGTGTAGGATTCACGTGGCAATTGGGACAAACACGAAACGTATGCTATTTACTGCTGAGAAATTCGCAGAAATCTTTAAAATCGCCTATGAAATCGTCCTTTATCTTCTCCCCAGCGTCACTCTTTGACAGTTCTCTCCAATGTGTATTGGCAGTTAACGTACGTGCATGTAAACGCGAAATTAAATCAGATATTCCTGCCAGCGCACTTCGCGAGGTGGGATCCACCTCCGCATATGCATAATATGTTTCCTACGTAAAACATAAAAGATAGAGAAGAGCGGCGGAAAAAGTTTGGGGGAAGAGGAGCCCGAAGAAAATGCAAAAAGAAATACGTAAACAGCAAATTTCGAAACTAAATACATCTTATGGTATGCGCATCTTATGAATGCGGGGGTAAATTAAAATGTTCTTGCGGTATTCTACAAGTGCGTATTCTGCGGAAGGTACGGTATAAGCCCGAGATAAATGACGACGTCGCTTCGCATTAATTTTTAGCTCACATCGAGTAACTGCTTGACCCCAAATTCCATATTCGACTTTAGTCGATAAACTATAACGCATCTGCCCGAAAATTCCTCGGTAGTACCATCTGTTATGCAACAGCGTACAACTTGCTGTTCTTTGCTAAGTTGCGGCGCCCATCGCCCGGATTCTGAGATTATGTAAATTTTACGTTTAGTATGACGGTGTAGCATGAAAATATATTGTTGACGTAATCGCCATAGTTGACGTTATATTAAAATTGCGCGTGCAAAAGAAGAGGAGCGGGGAAGTGTCCGCCATTATACCGAATGTCGGGGGACTCATGGGTTGAAGGTATATAATAATCGCTTGTCTACCGCCCTCGGCGAAGAAACTGCTAAATACATTCACGTATTCGTCCCTGTCGAGAATTCCTTCCTCCAGAACCTCGGCGTCTGTGTTCAAAATGAATGCCACCGTCTCTAGAATATGTTGGTGCGTAACCTTCAACAATCCTTGCCGGACATTACGAATTTCTTTGAATTTCGCCTAAAATAGAGGGACTTACTGCACCTGGGAGAATTTCTGTTTAATGTTCTCTATTTAACATTACCACGGAAAAATTTTAGATTGTTTTTCACACTATTTTTTACAATTTAATTTCATTCCATTCTTCTATTTTTTTAAATCTTTTCTAACGAACTAAATATAAAAGTACTTCTGACATATTTGTAATTATTTCTGTTTACTCGATTGCGTGTCATTGTATCAAATATAGTAATTTTCCAAGTAAGATGTATTATATATCGGTATTATCTGCAAAGGTATTTACAAGTCTCTCTTTCGTACTCTCCGTAGGTAGATCTTCTCGTGCACCAATCCTCCTCTTCACTAACTCAGCGATTCGTTGGTCAATAGCCGGTTTCGTGTAATCTCGCGATGCGGAATACGCGTTTGCCATTGTTGTCGAGAAGGAGAAATTGTAAACGTCAATGTACAAGTGGAACCACTGGAAGGCCTTAAGGAAGAAATATAACTACGCGTTTATACGGACACGATACGTTTACATCTGACAATTCCTCTTCGCTCGGAAATTAGGCGTAGAAGGCGGAACAAATAAATGAACGTCGCAGAGTATTTTCGCAGAAAAAATTTATTAAAATATATTGCGAACGATATTTTTTAAATACAATAGGGAAGTCATTATGTAAAGACAGTTCAGACTATAATAGTGATTTTTTAAATATCATTAATTGCTGTTTTCGTGCACGTGGAAAGTGTAGCAGCGGATACTTTTCGCGGAGCGGAAGAATATAATACATCAATTATGAACTAGATCTTTGCAAATTAATTTATAAATATATATACACAAGTAAAATATATACAATACAAATATATAATACAAATAAAATATACGTATATACCATATACAATGTATACTTCACATACTTTACTTCCCTCTAAAAGTCAATCAGTGAATTAACACTGAAAACAATGTATATACATATTTACAGTCACTAATTCACAGTTATAAGTATACTATTGAAAATCGCATTTATAACTGCGATTCAGTGAGTTCACCGTTTTCAGTGACAATCCACCAATTGACTTTTAGAGAGTTCACATCTTCTACGCAAAGGACTTACTAACAGATTGCAATTTTCTTAATAATTTGCATACTCTTATAAATAAAATGTATTAATAACGGAGACAAAGAAGAAGTAAGTATCTATCCTTTCTCTCTGCGCCATCTTTATTTCCTTTTTGTGTATCGATTTTTTATAATTATAATTTCTTGTTCGGAATAATATACCAAAGTCGGTAAGGCAGCTGATTACCTTATGTGTAATTGTCGACACCGCTCGTAATTACCATGCAACGTTAAAAGATTTATTCGATCGTTGATACAAACAAAATCTTTGCAACCTGCTAAAATGTGAACTCCCGGAATAGGCAAAAAATAATGTGGAATAAATTTTAAAAATAGAAATAATATATAAAACAGGATTTTTATACATTACGTTTAGGTAAAATAAAGAATTCATAGAGGGAAGTTATTATTAAATTACTTGCAATTTGTATAGAAATAATCAGGGTTGGAAGTAACTCGTTACTTGTAACGAAGATGCAGTTGCAATTTTTTTGGTAACTCTAATTTAACTTCGTCACTTCCTCTTCATCTGTAACTGTAACTAACTCAGTTACATTTTTTCGATAACTAGTACCTAACTCATTTAATATAGTTACAATAATAGTTACTTTATGTTTTTTAAACCTCCGCATATCGCATCAGGCTTTGCATTTACGCATGAACGCCTTTATCGGCGTTTTACAATTCACGTGCAGATTTTATATTTTTATTTCTAATATTTATTTCTGCAAAAAGTAACCGCAAAGTAACGATTCGTTACTTTTTGAGTAACTGCAACCGTAACGCGTTACTTTGCAGAACTACTTTTCAGAACTTGAAATGTATATTTTAATATAACTATTGTATAAGTAAAGTAATTTAATATAACTATAAATAAAACTATAACTCTAACTAGATACTTTTATAAAGTAACTTTTCCAATTTTGGAGATAATTTTACATTTTTCCTTAAGCCTTCAAGATCAAATATTGTGTAAATTGATACAAGAAACTAAAAGATTTATATCAATAGACAAATTAATTATAACATCTCTAAAATAATGTTCCATTATAACACAAATCGAACACATATGTATATCTACGTGAAACACTTCACAAACTTCTAATAAATTTAATAACCATAAATTTAATAACAATAGTATTTAATTCTACCATTTCGCTTACAGTATGCAATATCCCAGAAAACAAGATAAACCATGCACAATGGTATTTAATTATCACGGCAAAAGGAAAAGAGAAAAAGATGTTTCCTTATCTGCAAACAAAAGTATATGTAGGTACCTATATGAAAAGACGCCAGACATCGATTGCGTAGCGCTAATAATAATAATATTATTATTACCATTATTACAAATATTATTATTATTATCACTATTTTTATTATTTTTATTATTTTTTAATTTTTATTACTATATCTTATTATTATTGCTACTATTACAACTATTATTATTGCACTGTACATATATGACTCAAAAAAAGATAATAAAAAACTAGAATAATTCGCAAGACACGCTAACAAGATTACTGTTATCAGTAGAAATAAGTATACGAATTGTTTCTGATTCACCGATGAATCAATTTTTGGTTCAATATCCCATATAATATTTCTCGAGCGGCGCAATTGATTTATCTTATCAATATTACGTGCTTTATTTATTTCCTTACTGTTTTTCGATAAAGTTTGCTCTGAAGTCACCAAAGCCCGCAAAATTTCTTTCGTCAGGTGCGGATAGGAATTCGCCATGGACTGGAAACTTTCGGTATCTATCACATCCTTCGCGAATGTCACAACGAAGTCCATCACATGCGCTTTCAGCTGAGGAGCGTCATGGAGATCGGCAAGTATGAAGATTTCTGTCGCGTTCTCAACATTTAATTTTTTTACAAGTGCCCACTCGCACATTTTCTTCAGTCTTTCCACTCCGTACTTGTCCGCCGCGGTTAACAGATCGTTCGCCATCTCCTTCAAATTCGCGACTTTACCGGTGTAAATAAATCGCACCATTTCTCTCCAAACTTCGGGGTCCATATCGGTGATGTCCACCCTATTAGTCTCTCTTTCTTTCATCTCGTGTCCGAACATTGCCGAGAAAACTGGACTTTGTGCAGCGAGAATTACTTTGTGCGCTTGGAACTCTTTTCCGCGAACAGCGAACGTTACGTCGCAAAATTGTTGGTCCTCAAAAAGCAGCCCGAGATTGTTGAGCAGTGGGCACTCCGGTACTTGTATCGCACCTGCACTTTGTTGAACAATTTCTATAATGTCTTCTATTACGCTGACTTGACAATATATTATAAGCATATCAGGTGGAAACCGTTCGGTGTCCGCGTACTGATGACATTCGTCTCTCTTGAGGAAGTTCTTGCAGCCTATAGAGCCATCCCGAAAAAGCTTGTAAACACCCCGGGTCATATGTCTATTTACTAATTCTTCGTTGGCATTAAGAATTACAAATTCGACTTTAACACTGACTTCGCTTTTGTCGCACGCAACGAGAATGAGGAATAGCGACATGAAGTCTTTGTCCTCTTTATTAAGATTTATTTTCAGGCGCCAGATCAACTCTGCTGCGCCGTAGACCACTGCTGAGAACGTAGGTGAGCTTATCTCGTTTTTATTGACGTTTTTGCAGTAATAGCTGAAGTTACATATCGTCCATGTATAACTGAAATTATCCACCTTCACCTGCGCGTAACACCAGTCCTCTTCCATGGGTGTGCTCCTTTCTGGCCGTGGCGAATTTGAAACGTTTACCATACTGCTTCACGTTCTCTTCGTCGCCGTCTAATAATAATACTCAAGAAATTTACACGAAGGGCACACTAGAAAGACTTCTGATGGAATGAGTCGATGTAAAGCTCGAAACATACGAAAAAACTCGCTCAACTAGAGATAAGAGATATCTCCTATCAGTGCCAATAGAAATTAATCGTCGGATCGATATCGATACTACAAAATTGATTTCGATTAGATATCCTTTCGATGCCGATCGGCGCTTACAATTAGTAGCACAGTGCAGTGGCTAAGCATTCGCTAAACATTGATCCAATTATAGTTATATTAGAAATGCATTGGCCGATATTGTCCAACGTAAGGTCAATATTGGCCATAAAAGAAATGTAAATATTGTACAATAATAATTATATAATATTAGATTTATATTAGAAGTGCATTGGCCAATATTTAATAATATAATAAGAGTATTGATCTCATATTGATGCAATATTAGACCAATATTGCTAAATAGACATATTGGAAAAATAAGAAAAGGCGTCCATCTTACATTATTAGCCGAATATTGGAAATACTAGATTGGCATTATTTCCCAATATTACGCTAATATATTGTTTTACTACCCAGACAGCACATGATATTATACGAATATTCTATACTCATACTATGAATGTACGTACTGTACATAATATACTGAGAATATCTCTATAATATCTCCTGTAGTATATCAGTTTTCGTATAAATTTAGGATGTTTTCAGAACATCTTTTTGACCAGGCAATTAATTATGTGATCAAAATATTTTATTAATATACCTATGATATACCAAGAAATATTTTCAGTATACATATACTGAGTAGGCTTCTAGGGCAGACATAGATACATCCTCCGTACATTCTCAAAATATCGTGGTACGTATTTCGAATATTAATGGAATATACACAATCTACGTTTGCGATATACTGCGTATACATATACTCAGAATCTATCTGTGCTGTATGGGTAGGGAGGATTCATTTCTCGCTGGGATATAATAGACTGTGAATTGACGTGCTTAATCTTACGTTTCGATTTTTTATCGAAAAAAGTGCGATAGTTGCCATGACTAATTGTAAGTTGTACGGTATCAAGATAACAGATAAAACAGATTGCAGATAAGCGAAAGCGCTCGATGTTCAAAGTGCCGTCAAATATTGAAAAATATTTTTAAAAAATGGTAGGCTAATATTGGCCGCGTTCAGTGGAGAAAACTGCTCAGTGAGCGCTTGTGGTGATTGGATTATACTTTAAAAATGTAGAAGAATAGTTCTATCACACCACAGATCTAAAAGTATAACCCAATCAGCGCGAAGCGCTCACCGAGCGACTTTTTTTGCTGAAGGCGGTCATTATTTACCTTAATCTCTTAAACAGTCATAATACGTTTGTGATAAATATTTTGAGAAAAGATATATCCTCAGACAAATAATCCACCGCAACTTGATTACTGAATAACATTATTGTTGAAGTAAAGAGATCTAGAATGTTGACCATGAAGAACATTTCTACTCTATAATTGAGTTATTATGATTAGGAGAATGAAATGTTTTATTTTCTGATACTTTTTCATAATTTTTATAGATTATCTGCGCAAATAAGTTGTACAAGAAGTAGTAGAATACAAAAGAATAGAATTAGCTTTATTCCCCTTAGGATTACAATCTCCTTACAAACGTCACTTATTCTAATTTACATTCTAACTTTTTGGGGAAATGCTTCTTCGCAAATGGAATACAGAAATAAAGGCACAAGTGATTGAGCACGTGATCGCTGCGTGAACAGGAGTTTTATTATAAAGTCAAAATAATGTCAATTTGACATCAAATTGACCAAATTTACGTCATTTTTTGGTCATGATTAAAAATCTTAATTTCAGATGAGTTAAAAATGACTTTATATTGACTTCTTAAAAAAAATTTTTTTTCTTAATATTTAGAAAATGTGATACGTTTCTTGACTGTATAACTGCTTATTATTATAAAAATGTATAATATAAAAAGTAGTCATAAAAAGGTCTTGATTTGACTAACAATCATCCCAACCCAGATAGAACATAAAACTCTTTTCTAGATATGTTCAGATAACTTTTATGTGATAAATAAAATTGTGATAGTCATAATGACGTCATTATGAGTTTTATGTTCTATCTGGGTATCATATTACGAATAGTCAAACTAAGTCAAAATTATGTCACGATTTTGACATCAAGAAAGCATCAAAAATTTATGCAACTTGACATCATTTTGACGAACTAAAATTTGATTATATTTTGACATCATTTTGACATCATTTTGACTTTTTTGTTCTCCCTGGGTAATACGGGCATTTTGCCCGCATGGCTATAAAGCCAGCCTTATATCTCGAACGGCGCAAACGATTTATTGTATCTTGTGCCTCATTTATTTCTTTACATATTTTCGATGTTGTTTGCACCGGAGTCACTAACGCCTGCAAAATTTCTTTCATCAGGTGCGGATAGGAACTCGCCATGGACTCGAAACCTTCGGTATCCATCACATCCGTCGCGTATGTAACAATGAAGTCAATCACATACGCTTTCAGCCGAGGGGCGTCATAGAGATCGGCAAGTATGAAGATTTCCGTCGCGTTCTTAAAATCCAATTTTTCGACAAGTGCCACCTCGCACTTTTTCTTCAGACTTTCCACTCCGTACTTGTCCGCTGCGCTAAACAGATCTTTCGCCTTCTCCTTCAAATTCGCGACTTTACCGGTGTAAATAAATCGCATCATTTCTCTCAAAACTTCGGGATCTATATCCGTGATGTCCACTCTATTATTCTCTCTTTCTTTCATCTCGTGTTCGAACATTGCCGAGAAGACGGGACTTTTTGCTGCGAGAATTACTTTGTGCGCTTGGAACTCTTTTCCGCGAACAGCGAACGTTACGTCGCAAAATTTTTGGTCCTCGAACAGCAGCCCGAGATTGTCGAGCAATGTCGATTGCTCCGGTACATGTAGCGCACTTTCTTGGGGAAAGACCATAATGTCTTCTATTACGCTGATCTGACAGTATATTATAAGTTTGTTATCTGGAAACCGTCCGGTGTCCGCGTACTGAAGACACTCGTCTCTCTTGAGGAAGTTGTTGATGGTTATACGGCAACCCTCGACGAAATTGTGAGCGTGCAGTTCGTCATGGTTACTAATTTCTTCTCCTCTGGCATTACGAATAGAAAGTTTGTACTTAGCGTTGACTGCTTCATCGTCGCAACAACGAAGAAAGAGGGATAGCGACATGTTATAGTCTTTATTAAGATGTACTCGCATTTTCCATTCCGACTTGTTGGCACCTGCTGAGAACGCGGGTGAGTTTTTCGTCATCTTTATCATGTTTCTACAGCAATCGATGAGGTCATCTATTGACCACGTATAACTGCAACTATCTTCACTATCCATCTTCACCTGCGCGTAACGCCAGTCCTCTTCCATGAGTGGGCTCATTTG